CAGCACGCCGGGGAGACCGACCCCATCCGAACAATGGGTGCCATCAGAAAAGAGAAGGATAACTTCCGAGTCCCGAAGGACTGAGCGCTCTGCCTGGATCACTTTAACGTCAGTTTCAGTGTAATTTAGACTACTCAGATATTTTAGGAGTTGAACCTTCTGTTGTGGTTGAGACAGTCCTATTTAGGTTTATATTTTGTTTTGATTAAGGAAAAAAAAAAGCACTTTGCCCTTGTTGAGATGTTTTACAGCCTATTTATATTATGACGAAGAATATTTATCCTTCTGTTGCTGGCTCTCAAACTGTCACATGTGTCACATGCAGATCATTTTACAAGTGTTGGTACGTGGCTCAGAGTCTGGGGTGGGGAAGGGTCAAACCTTGAGGTCTAGGAAAAAGCTCCTGTTATTTTTGTAAGAGCCTGATTCGAATGCAGACAGGGGGACTGTGGCCCGAGATGTCTTCATTTAAGACAGAGACAAAATGCAGTAACTATATTGCCAGCTGCAAAGATTTGAACTTTTCTTCCGTGCTGCTACTTAAACTCTTCTGGGTCTGTTGCTTCTGGCTCCACTAAAACCAGTTCTCAGTGACAGACCTGCTCTGCCACTGCCAGTTCAGGGCTTAGTTTGTGAAATACGCAGGGTGGCCTGGCTGTGGGAATGGCACATGGGGACTGGCCAGCTTTCCTCTTCTGACATTCCTTGTTGTGGACTGCAGTAGCTTTTCCAGGCAGCATGCTGGCTTAGAGATTGCACTGTTTCTTATTCCCTTTGATTCTTAACTTAAGCCTGTTTGCATGTACCTGCTTACTGCTCTTATGTGTGATCTGTATGTTACTTGTATTAGTACCACACAAACGAAGAAGGGATTTGTCTGCTGGTTCAAAATCCTGAGGAGAACTTACCTAGTGACTAGCTGCGTGTCTAACAGCGATGAGATCCTCCAAAGGATGCCTTGCTGCCGATAGCCAGAGCAGCTGCTTTGTACCTTCCTGTGAGTAATGTGGCAAAGGAGCGTTTATTAGCTGGGCGCTGTTCCCCAGCGAGAGAGCAGCTGTTCTGGTGAGCACGGGCAGTAGCCGTGCGGGGCCTGGGGGGCTCCAGCTGACGGGCCTGACTTAGAGCAGATGCTGCGTGCTGCTGGGGCTGATCACCCGCCCTGCAGCCCCTGCCTGCTCCAGCCTCTCCGCTAGAAAGGCCGCAGAGGGGATGTTACAAATGGTGAGGGCGTCCACATATTGCCAGATTAAACAGGGCTCGGATCTCTGACCCCCTGAGAAACCACCTCAGTGTGGCACATTTCTTTTTCTTGGTTGGTCCGTGGGGCTTAAAAGCCATCTCTGTTCTTGGACTAGTGCTGTATGACCCCAGTCTGCATCCGGCTTGAAAACTGCAGAGAGGGAACTTCTCCTGGGGCTGTGTTTCTGACAGGGGAATAGTGTGTCAAAGGGGATGAATGGGATAAACTGGGGGAAAATAAATCCAGGTTTTCAGCGAGTGGGTCACCCCCTCCTGCACTTGTCATCCTCCAGCTCGGTGTCTAAACAAGCGATGTACATCTGAGCGAAGGGTGGTAGGACCCAGCCTTGCGGGCTTGGCCTCTGCAGCTTTAATACATCTTCCTCCTAATTATATTTTCTTCCTTGTTTCTTGGTCTCGGCTGCGTACTGCAGATCTGCTCAAGTACAAGAGATTTTCAAACAAATGTTTTGCGGCTGAAACTAACAAAAGATTCAAATGATTTTGGTTCCAGTTTCTCCCCCTCTCCCCAGTGCATGTCGGTAAGTAATGCCACGATGGAGCCCGTAACCACCTGGGTGTCACCAGCGTAACTTTGGTCTTGTTCCAGCCAACACGCTGAATGGCAGTGTATGAGCGGGATTTGGTGTAGCACCGTTTCTTTATTTGCTTTAAAAAGGTAAATTTTATGTAGTTCAGAAAGAAAAGTGGTACCTAAAACTTTACTGCCTCCTTAACTTGAACGCTGTGCTGTTACAATGGAGCATGACTGTACTGATGGCTGTTTGACAAATGAGCAAATAAATAACAGCTGTAAACCGAGCATTGGCGGGGCGGTCTGGAAGACGGAGATTTCTTTATCTCACAATTTTATTTATTTATTGTACTAGTGATTGAAGTCAACCAACTGGAAGCATCTCTCTACCTAATCCTGGGGGAAGCAGGTGGTATTTTGGGATCTTCTGGGGCTTTATTCAAGGTCTTGTTACAACTTGACTTGGAGTCAAATCCAGTTGGCAGCCGGTCACGAGTGGTGTTCCCCAGGGCTCAGTGTTGGGACTGGTCCTGTTCAACATTGATGATCTGGATGAGGGGAATGAGTGCACCCTCGGTAAGTTTGCAGATGACACCAAGCTGGGCAGAATTGTCGATCTGCTGGAGGGTAGGAAGGCCCTACAGATGGACCTGGACAGGCTGGATCGTTGGGCCGGGGCCAACTGTATGACATTCAACAAGGTTGAGTGCTGGGTCCTGCACTTGGGTCACAACAACCCCATGCAACGCTACAGGCTGGGGGAGGGGTGGCTGCAGAGCTGCATGGCGGAAAAGGACCTGGGGGTGTTGGTTGACAGCCGGCTGAACATGAGCCAGCAGTGTGCTCAGGTGGCCAAGAGGGCCAATGGCCTCCTGGCTTGCATCAGGAATAGTGTGGCCAGCAGGATCAGGGAGGTGATAGTGCCCCTGTGCACCCTACACAGGTGAGGCCGCACCTCGAGTACTGAGTTCAGTTTTGGGCCCCTCACTACAAGAAGGACATGGAGGTGCTGGAGTGTGTCCAGAGAAGGGCAACGAAGCTGGTGAAGGGTCTGGAGCACAAGTCTTATGAGGAGCGGCTGAGGGAGCTGGGGTTGTTTAGTCTGGAGAAGAGGAGGCTGAGGGGAGACCTTGTTGCTCTCTACAACTACCTGAAAGGAGGCT